TGCGGCCGGTTGCCTTTGGCTGTGGGCCTGCCCTCTGGTCTCAGATGCCCCTGGGCTGCGGGCTGGGTGGCCCTGCAGGCCTTCCTGCAGCCGTGTTGGAGGGCGCTCAGTGCCTCGGGGCCAGGCTGTATGTGTGAGACTGATTCAGAGAGATCGAGGTCCTGAGGGCCATGGAGGCGAGGGCCGCTCTAGAATGTTCTCTCCTGGGGTGGATGGGACAGGGAGACCACAGGGGTGGCCTCTGAAGGCTTTTCTAAGACGTCTGGCCTTGCCTCTGCCCCAGGCGACGAGGGACCCGGGACCCAGCCAGCCTGGGCCTGCTGAGCCGGATCCCCACGCTGAGCCTTCTCCGAGCCCGAGCACAGCTCTCCTGCACCGCCCAGGCCCCTGAGACCGGACCTGAGCTCTCCCTGGGCCCAAGCCACGGCTTTCTATGCCTGGAAACCCCCACATAGGCAGGACCCACCCCAAATGGTCCCCGGGCTCCACACGAGCTAACCCCCTCCCCCTCTGTTCACGCCACTGGGCTACACGACGCTGGCCCGGGATAAGGTCAGACCCACTGCTCCCTCCCCAGGCGTCACGCTCCTTCCCCTACTTCCTCCAAGCCTTCGCCTCACGGTCACCTTCACAGGGAGGCCCCCCCCATCCCCGCTCCCTCTCTCCCCTCCCCCCACTCACACTATCACCAGACAGCCTGCAGCCGCCTGCCTGGTGGCGACTGTTGTAGTTGCCAGGTGCCCAGAGTAGAGCCTGACCCCTAAATGGTACATATCTGTGGGAAGGCTGCATCCATCCTCCTCGGAGTTGCCCTTTACTGAAAGCCTACTGTGCGCTAACTGCTGAGCGCGGCGCCCACCGCCCAGGCCTCTCACAGCGCCTCCCCACGGACGCGGACGGTGCGACAGGGCACAAACGGGAACGGGGTCCTCCGAGGGGCCCTGTGGACCTCTGGGTCGCCCCCTGGGGCCGTGGGAGCCGGAGCCGGGCTGTCGGTGCTCCCTCACGGGGCTGCTTGCCTCCGGAGCCCACCTCCTGGCCCAGCTGACAGGCCGCCATCTGGCCACGGCGGCCGCGCCCCCAGCTGCCCTCAGTGACCAGCACGGAGTCTGCAGGGTAGCGGTGGTTTCTGTCGGCGCCTGGGCTCTGTCACAGTCAAGGGCACTGGGCCTGGCTGGCAGCCACACAGATAAGCCATGACCTTCAGGGGAAGTGCTGAGGGCGCCCCCTCCTCGCAGTCCTGCCCTGCGTTCTGTGGACAAACGTGGTCCCGTGGACGGGGGTGGGGGGGGGCGTGCCAGGCTCACCTCCCCGTGCTCCCGGCTCCGCAGTCACGGGCCCGGCTTCCTGGCCGACGTGGCTCTGTGATACCGTGAAGCAGTGTCTGCTGTCTGTTCCCAGTTCCCTTTGCTCCTGGCAGAGGTCGGTTGATATGATTCAGTCTGGCAGCCCGAGTGGCGCGTCAATGATGCCAGTTCCATTATCTGAAGTTTTCAGCACCCCCCTCCCCCCCATTCCCATCCCCCCAGCACCCGGGCATCTCCGGAGCTGTTCGTGCCGGGGCCCAGCCGGCCCACCCGTCAGCCTGGCTCTTCCCGCTTTCGTCCTCACTCCCCTCTCACCGTGCCTTGCAGAGCCTGGGTGTTTTTACGTTGTTTTCCTGAGAACGGTGGTGTGCATGTTGGCAGGTAGCCTTCCCAGAGCCAGAGGCTGGGGTGGTGGCGTCGGTTGTGTTCTTGGTATTAGTTAGCTCGGGCTCGGCCCTCTGATGCGCTGGTTTGGTTTTTATCTCTCTCTAGTGAGGGAGAGAGAGCCCGGGCGTTGGCAGCGTGGAGGACGGCCTGGGAGTTCGGAGAGAGAGCAGTTGTCTCAGAGGCAGCCTGGGAGCGGTTGCATGCCATGGTGGCGAGTGTCTAAGCAAACGATGAGGCGGTTTGCCTTGTGTTTTAGGCACAGGCGTCCGTTCCACGCAGCTCACCGACTTCAGCTCAGCCTCCAGGGCCCTGACTGGGGAGTGGGTTTTGGTTTCCATGTAGGTGTCGCAAAGAATGGAAACATGATGTATGGTTGTCTCTGACTGCATACCCTCCATCCTTTGTTACCTCCCACTCGTCCTCACCTCAACCCTGGGAGTAGCAGAACCAGCACGTGCACAGATCTCTGTCCCACCGCCTCCCCAGCCGGCACTGAGCCCCACACTGCTGCTTCCCCTCGGCTCCTCCTGCCCGGACTTACCTGTCCTCTGACACAGGGGTGGTCTGCTGTGTCCCCCTGATTTGTGATAAGGGATAAGATTCTGTAACCTTTGTTGCTAGGCAGAGACCAGATCTGGGCAGGACAGGAGCTTGAGCTCCTTAGCACAGAATCTGTGGGGACTTACGTTGGCCAAGAACAAACTCTAGCTGTTAATGTCATGTGAGTCGGGATGCGTGCTCCGTGTGGATTTTGATTTATCTGATACCTTGAAATCAGAACTGCGAAAGAGTTGATGGACGGTGAAGTAATTGACTTTACCTCTCCTTTTTATTTTAGGGAAGTCTAATCAGCATTAACAGCACTTGCACGGAGATTGGCAATTTTGACAACGCTGCCGTCTCTGGAGAAATAGAATTTGCCCTCCGCTATTGCTTCGAAACCCGTTCTTTGGAAATACGCATCCAGGCCTGCAGGAACCTTGCTTACGGAGAGGAGAGGAGGAAGAAGTGCAACCCGTGAGTTCCTTCCCTGCGTTTTGACATGAGATGACAGGCCTATTAATCCCGAAGTTGGTAGGGAAAGTCCACATTAACCAACACAATCATAATAAAAAGAACAAAAAGTAAAAAGACACAGTCAAGAGCCATCGTGAGGTTCCAGTAGCTCCGACAGTGTTATTGGTGCGAGGCTAGGTGAGCAGGCTGGCAGAGCAGAATCAAAAGTCCAGACACAGGTCTGAGCATCTACGGGAAGTCACACCATCCAGGGGCTATTAGAAGTCAGTGCCTAAATGGTGTTGGAAATTTGACTTCCCGTAGAGGAAAAATAAAATTAAATTCCTGTCTCACACAATCTATAAACAGATTACATTTCTCTCCAACCGACGGCTATGAAATGGTGTCACGTTATTTTAACAAGCATTTCCTTGATGAGTAACAAAGACAAGCAACTATTTATAGAGCGTCAGCCACTCAGGGCTTCCCTCCTGTGCACTTCCTGTCATCGGAAAGATGGCCGGGTGGGAGATCAGGGATCTGTTCTCTGGTTGCTGATTGCTACTTCTGATCACAGAAGCGCGGACCTGGAGGCACACAGCCATTGTTGCTCCATCTCCTCCCAGCGTCCCATTAGCTCCCCCCTCCGGCTGATGTAACTTCCAGGGTTTGTAAGGGCCAGTGCCCTCATTTGTCTCCCTTTTTCGTTTTTTACTTTTTTCCCCTCTTGAAAGCCAGACACTACAGACTAGGACATTCAAAAGTAACTGCAGAGCAAGAAAAATTAGAAAATAAACACTTATGCTCAGGAAAAGGTACAGGCTCAGGAGAAAACCTGAGCTTACATCTCAGGCTTATCTTGGGTACAGAATCAATAAAGTAATAACAAAAGACAACCGTGGGAAGCGGGAGTATCTAATTTTCAGAGTGCAACCCGTGAGTTCCTTCCCTGCGTTTTGACGTGAGATGACGGGCCATTATTAGATACAAATGTCCAGTATTCAACAAAAATAGCAAAATAAAGAAATAGGAAAGTATGGCTCATTCAAAGGGAAGTAATAAATTAACAGAAACCGTCCCTAAAAAAGATCTGATGACAGGCTTACTAAACAAAGACTTTGCAACATTATCTTAAAGAAGCTCAAAGAGCCGAAACTAGTTTGGCTCAGTGGATAGAGCGTCGGTCTGCGGACTGAAAGGTCCCAGGTTTGATTCCGGTCAAGGGCATGTACATTTGTTGCAGGCACATCCCCAGAGTGGGGTGTGTGCAAGAGGCAGCTGGTCGATGTTTCTCTCTCATCGACTTTTCTAGCTCTCTATCCCTCTCTCCTCCTCTCTGTAAAAAAATAAAAGATACTCAAAGAACTAGAAGAAGATGTGGAGGAAGTCAGGAAAATGATGTGTGAACAAAGTAGAAATATCAATAAAGAGATAGAGAGCCTAAATAGAAACCAAAAAGAAGTTCTGCAGTAATTAAACTCCAATTACGGAAATGAAAAATTCCCTGGTGAGATTTGAAGGCAGATATGAGCAGATGGGAAAAGGGAGCAGTACATTTAAAGAAAGGTCAACAGAAATTATTGGGTTTGATAAAAAGAAAGAAAAAAGGTCGAAGAAAAGCAAATAGAACCTAAGGGACCTGAGGGCCACCATCAAATGGACCAACATCGGCATGAGGGAGTCTCAGAAGGAGAAGAGAGAGAGCAAGGGGCAGAGAGAATATTTGAAGAAGTAGCTGAAAACTTCCCAAATTTAATGAAATACATGAATATAAACATCAAAGAAGCTCACTGAACTCCAAGTAAGATGAACTCAAAGTGACCCACCCTGAGACACAGTATTAACAAACTTTTGAAAGACAGAGAATCTTGAAAGCAGCAAGAGAGAAGCAAATCCTCAGGAAGATTTTCAGCAGATTTCTCATCAAAAACTCGGCAGGCCAGCAGGCCAAAGTGCTAATCTATATATATAAAAGCCTGAGCAGCCACCTGACTGTCTGACCCTCCAGCCGGGACTGTCTGACCCTCCAGCCGGTAGCTGAAGTCCTTTCCCAAGAACTTTGATTGACAGGGAAAAAGAGGCTGAGCCTGGAGCACCAGGGGGCACTTGAGCCTGTTCCTAGCCTGTGGGAATAGGTTCCTGGTCAGGGGGCGAGGGGGGGGTCATTGCCATGGACAAAGCTGCCAGGGAAGGAAGTCTCGAGACCTGGGCAGGGGGGCAGAGTGCTGGTGGAGGTGGCCTGTCCTGCCAGCCCACCACCCTGCCAGCGAAGCCGCAGACCCAGAGTCCGCAGAGGGCTGGTCCGCACGTCAGTAGGACAGGCTGGAGGCCCTGCAAGGGGAGAGCACACACTGCCCATTTCCGCTTTTCTGTGGGGTGGGGGGCTGGATGGAGGGACAGGTGGGGGAGGACAGACTGCCCCGTGGCCTCTGCATCCAGAGATCCAAGAATTTGGCCCCCTGGAGCCCCCTCCTCCGTGCGGCCCCCTCCTCCCCCAGCCTGGCAGGTGGGCAGCGTCAACTCCAGGGGTGTGGCCTGGGCAAAGCAGGCAGCGTCACCCAGCCAGACACGTGCCAGGGGTGCAGGCTGAGTGAACAGCAGCTGTGTCCCCAGCGTGGCATCCTTCCCAGCCCTGGGCGGCCCCTGAGCCCTTCCTATCAGCGCCCGAGTCAGCAGCAGGCAGGGCAAAGGTCCCGCTCGCTCCGGCCTGAGCCTGCCGCCCCGTCTCCTCCAGGTACGTGAAGACCTACCTGCTGCCCGACAGGTCGGCCCAGGGCAAACGCAAGACGGGCGTCCAGAGGAGCACGGCGGACCCAACCTTCCAGGAGACCTTGACGGTGCGCCCTCCCTGGGCAAACATTCGCCCGCTGCGCCTCCCGCCTGCGGGCTCCGGGCCAGAGTCCACGCGGGCTCCTCCAGGCCGAGTCAGCACACGGAGCGCAGACGTCGCTGCCCGTGCACATCCGTTTGAGGACGAGCCCACGGTGGGTCCAGTACGCCTCAGTCTCCCCCCGGGTAGATGGGGAGTCTAACCCTGAGCTCAGGGTGGACAGAGCACGCGGCCACAGGAGGGTGACCATGTCACCAGTGGGCCTCGGTGCCAGCTGCCAATGGCCCCACTGGGAGCTCATAATGCCCTTCCCCCCGGGGGGGCCAGGCCGGGCCCGCCCCTTCCAGTCGTGGCGCACGGGGTCCGGGGCTCCTCGGCCTCTGTGGACACATCTCCGTGAGTCTGACTGTCCTGCCAGTGTGGGCCCACATCTCATCCCCTCTCCCTCCTCCACCCAGCCGCCCCGTCACCCTCCGGCCTGCGGGAGAGGGCAGGGTCTGCGCCCGTCTGCGGGTGATTTCCCGGAAAACGGGAAAGAAGCTGGCTGCCTCTCGGCCTTTACCGCCAGGCTGCCCGGCGGGTCTGTATTCCCAGAGGGGCCTCCGCGGGGGGCACGGCACCCGCCACGCCGGGGCCACCGGCGGCAGGAGTGCCCCCTCACCGCAAACCCAGGCTCTCCTTTATTTATTTATTTAAAAATATATTTTATTGATTTTTCACAGAGGGGAAGAGAGGATAGAGAGAAACACCGATGAGAAACATCGACCAGCTGCCTCTTGCACACCCCCTACTGGGGATGTGCCCGCAACCAAGGTCCATGCCCTTGACCGGAATCGAACCCGGGACCTTTCAGTCTGCAGGTCGATGCTCTATCCACTGAGCCAAACCGGTTTCGGCAGGTTTTCCTCCTTTTAAGCAACAAAACTGACAGAGGAAGGGTCTGGGTGTTCACCGTGCTCAGTGCTAAACGTGGTTAGAGGCTGAGGAAGGGGATGGGGGAGACGCCTCGCCGGGTGGAGGAGGGAGAGGGGATGAGATGTGGGGCCCACACTGGCAGGGCAGTCCAGACTCACGGAGATGTGTCCACAGAGGCCGAGGAGCCCCGGACCCCGTGCGCCAAGACTGGAAGGGAGGGCCCGGCCTGGCCTCCCGGGGGGAAGGGCATTATGAGCTCCCAGGGGGCCATTGGCAGCTGGCACCGAGGCCCACTGGTGACATGGTCACCCTCCTGTGGCCGCGTGCTCTGTCCACCCTGAGCTCAGGGTTAGACTCCCCATCTACCCGTGGGGAGACTGAGGCGTACTGGACCCACCGTGGGCTCGTCCTCACAACGGATGTGCACGCGGCCCCCCAGGGGCTACAGGGAAAGGCAGGCTGGGACCAGCGGGGTGGGCAGGCTGGGTGTGGTGGGGCCACGGAGGGTCAGCCCCAGGAGACCTGCTGGAGGAGCTGGCCGAGGTCTGTCTGCTCACACCTTCCCGGCCGACCCTAAGGCTGCTGAGCCGTTTCAGCAGGGGGTTCTTTTGCTAGAGAGAGGGAGGGAGATGGGTGTTTTACATTTTATGAAATGAGATCAAATGGAGGATGGACTCCATTTTAGATACATAGTCAATTGTATAGTTTTATTTTTAAAGTTTAACTTGTTTAGAATGCACGCAGAATCTCACTGGTTTACCCTTTCCGTCCTCTCTGTTCTCCCCGTCCCGTGCTCTCCGTCCTCCCCGTCCTCCCCATCGTCCCTGTCCTCCCCGTCCTCCCTTCCCGTCCGCAGTACCAGGTGGAGCCCGCCCAGCTGGCGACGCGGCAGCTGCAGGTGTCGGTGTGGCACGTGGGCACGCTGGCCCGGAGGGTGTTCCTGGGAGAGGTGGTCGTCCCTCTGGCCACGTGGGACTTCGCAGACGGCAGCAGGCAGGGCCCCCGCTGGCACCCGCTGCGGGCCAAGTGACGCTGCCCGGCCCGCCCCGGCGCTTCTCCGAGGACCGAGAAGGGAGCGCGCCCGACCCTCGGCCTGTGACTGCGTGGCCTTTGGGCTCTGGAGGGAGCTCCGGCCAGCCCGGAGCTGGGGGGCGGGGCCCCAGGTGCCGAGGGGCAGGGTGGCTCCCGGGCCACGCACAGAAGTCCCAGCCCTGAACCACAGGAAGCGGAGCCGCAGACCCCCCCCCCCCATCAGCACGTTCCCAGCAAAATAAACACAGCTTCCCGGGGACGGCTCCGTGTCCACTCTCTGCGGCCCCGAGGGGCTTCCCCGCTCAGTTCCTCCAGGACCCGACAGCCCGGCCTCATGCCACCCAGTGCCAGCCTGGTCCGGCCCTGCCCCTGCCCCTGCCCCTGCCCCTGCCCCTGCCCCCTGCCCCTGTCCCCTGTCCCCCTGTCCCCCTGTCCCCCTGTCCCCTACCCCTGTCCCTGTCCCCTGTCCCTGTCCCCTGTCCCCCTGTCCCTGCCTCTGCCCCTGCCCCTGCCCCCTGCCCCAGCCCCTGCCCCTGTCCCCTGTCCCCCTGTCCCCTGTCCCTGCCCCTGCCCCCTGTCCCCTGCCCCCTGCCCCCTTCCCTGTCCCCTGTCCCGTCCCCTGTCCCTGTCCCCTGTCCCTGCCCCTGCCCCCTGTCCCCTGCCCCCTTCCCTGTCCCCTGTCCCGTCCCCTGTCCCTACCCCCTGTCCCCTGTCCCCCTGTCCCCTGTCCCTGCCCCTGCCCCCTGTCCCCTGCCCCCTGCCCCCTTCCCTGTCCCCTGTCCCGTCCCCTGTCCCTACCCCCTGTCCCCTATCCCCTGCCCCTGCCTTTGCCCCTGCCCTCTGTCCCCTGCCCCCTGTCCTGTCCCCTGTCCCTACCCCCTGCCCCTGTCCCCTGCCCCTGCCCCCTGTCCCCTGCCCCCTGCCCCCTTCCCTGCCCCCTTCCCTGTCCCCTGCCCCTGTCCTCTGCCCCCTTCCCTGCCCCCTGTCCCCTGCCCCTGCCCCCTGCCCCCTGTCCCTACCCCCTGCCCCTATCCTCTGTCCACTTCCCTGTCCCCTGTCCCCTGTCCCCTGTCCCCTGCCCCCTGTCCCCTGCCCCTGTCCCTGCCCCCTGCCCCCTGCCCCCGTCCCCTGTCCCTGTCCCCGCAGCGCTCGCTGCAGGCAGGCGGCGTGTAGCCATGTCCTCCAGCATTTCCCATCTCCCCGGGTCCCGCCGGCTCCCTCAGCGCCCAGCTGTGGAGCCGCCTGGGGAGGGGCTTCCTGGAACCCAGGCCTGGAAGGGAATCAGACCCCAGCTGCCCCGCCCCCCGGAGCCTCGGAGGGCCGGCTGCAGGCGGGGAGGGCTCTTTGGGAGACGGGCCTGCGGGCTCTGCGGACAGCTAGCTGCCCGGTGGGATGACGGTCAGGGACGTGGACAGGCGGGAAGACGGTGGCCGTGGCCCTGAGGACGACAGTGTCCTGTTTGGCCGGCCCTGAGCCCCGCGGCCGCCCCTGCTCAGCTCCGAGCCCAGAGACAGAGGCCCGGGCCCCCGCCCCCCCCCCCGCCCCCCCGGAAACGCCACCCTCCTCTCCCCTGGTCGCCTCGCTCCCCCGCAAGCCCGCCCGCCCCGCGGCCCTGGCGCTGCTCTTGGCGTCTGCGGACGGTCACACGCCTTCGCTGAGCGGCCAGAGTGAGTGTGTGTGTGTGTGCGCGCGTGTGTGCAGGGGGCAGGGTGTGTGTGTTCGCAGGGGGTGTTGTGTGCCGGGGGTGAGAGCAAATGACGGCTCCTCTTCGGCCACAGATCAGCCACCATGTGATGTCGCTCTGTCTGTGGTCGGGTGGGCGGAGGGTCCGTTAGCGCACTGTTTTCTGGAACTTGTTATACACACGGCACGGCCAGGCCTACAGGAACCCCAAACGATGAGCCCCTCCGTGTCTACCTTCCCCACAGAATCCACCAAGTCCCGTTAGAACTGCCCTGCCCTGGCCTCTCTGGCCCGTGGATAGAGCGTCCGCCTGCAGACTGCAGGGTCCCGGTTTGGTTCAGGTCATGCCTGGGTTTTGGGCTCAGGCCCCAGTGGGGGGCGTGCAGGAGGCAGCCGATCAGTGATTCTCCCTCATCAGTGATGTTTCTATTTCATTTAAAAAATATATATTTTATTGATTTTTTTTATAGAGAGGAAGAGGGAGCATGAGAGAGTTAGAAACATCAATGAGAGAGAAACATCAATCAGCTGCCTCCTGCACACCTCTCCTGGGGATGTGCCTGCAGCCAAGGTACATGCCCTTGACGGGAATCAAACCCGGGACCCTTGAGTCCACAGGCTGATGCTCTATCCACTGAGCCAAATAGGTTAGGGCAGTGATGTTTCTTTCTTTCTTTTTCTTTTTAAGTAAGAATCTTTTTTAATTTTTTAAATTTTTTATTGATTTTTTACAGAGAGGAAGAGAGAGGGATAGAGAGTTAGAAACATCGATGAGAAAGAATCATCAATCAGCTGCCTCCTGCACACCCCACACTGGGGATATGCCCGCAACCAAGGTACATGCCTTTGACTAGAATCGAACCTGGGACCTTTCAGTCCGCAGGCCGACACTCTGTCGACTGAGCCAAACTGGTTTTGGCAGGTGTTTCTATTTCTACTTCAATTTCTCTCCCTTTCCCTTCCCCTCTGAAATCAATTAAAAAAAAAAAAAAAGACTAATCTCCAAAATCTGTGCGCGTCCAGGTTTGGATACTCATCACAGTGAGTCAGCATTCCCTGACCGAGAGCGAAAAGGCTTTTTCTGAGTATTTCCTCAGCTTCCCGTCTCCCTCTTCAGTCAGATGGGTGACTCAGCAGATCTCCTTCTCACCTAACCTTAGCGTTTAGGGTTAGGGTTAGGGGTTAGGGTTAGGGTTAGACTAGAGTGTAGCATTAGGGTTATGGGTTAGGTTAACAGGTTCTTTTTTTTGTTTTGTTTTTTAAAGTAAAGCAAACACTATTTTTCCAATGGATTTGAAAGGGAGTGGAAGGGGGCGGTAGAGAACCATCATGTGAGAAACAGATGGGCTGCCTCCTGCTCGTCCTGCTGTTCCAGCGGTAAACCTGAGCACGGGCCTGACCGGAAGCTGAACTGTGACCTTTTACATGCCTGGGGCACGCCCACCGAGCCACCCAGCCTGTTGCCTCACCGTTAGACGGCAGTGTGTCCTCACCCGGACTTCCCGTTGGGGCTGGGGGGTGCTCTGTGCTTCTCTGAACCTCCTGCCGAGGGCGGGCTGGAGCCAGGTGAGCGTGTGCCTGGGCCTGGGCAGCCTCAGACGTGGCTGTGGCAGCCGGGAGGCCTCGGACGTGGCCGTGGCCCCTGGGAGGCAGAGGAGGTGGATGGCGCAGGGACCGCATGGCCTCAGCTCCCAGCCACCAGGGCCCGGGCAGACCCCCAGCCTCGGAGCACCCCTCCACCGGCCCTCCCGGCCGTGGTTCCCGCTCTCCATCAGCTTCTGTTCCGGCCGACGGGGCCTCTTCTCCGCTCTGGTCGCCTCCCCCTCAGCCCCAGAGGCCGGGGAGGTGGGGGTGAGGATGGCAGCCGCTTTCCTGCTCGGCTCCTCACTCCCGGGCCTGAAGCGTGTCCGCCGTGGACGCCCTCCTTCGTCCTCAGCAGGAGCCCCCGCCCAGCGCGGGCGGCCGCCGGCCTCGTGTGCAGGCGGCGTGCGGGAGGCCGGGCTCGGGCCCGGGAGGCTGGCTGTTATTCGGCCCAAGCGCATGGCTGCTCCTCGGGGCCTGCCACTCGGACCCGTGAAGAGAGGAGTTTTCTCCGGGGCCGGTGCTGCCTCACCTGCCGGGATGGGAGGCGCCGTGTAGCTCTGACCACACAGGGGCGGCACACAGCCAAGCATCCACCGTTAAACCAGATTCGGGACCTGCGAGGCCTCCACCAGGCTGGGCAGACTTTGGTTCCGGCGTCAGTCGTAAAGGATTATTGGCGTAAAGGAAAACGCCTCCTAAAGGGTTTCGTGAAGAGGGACAAAGGGGTGCTTTGGTGCTGCCCAGCACCGACACCAAACCACGTACACACCCTGCAAGGCCAGGGGCCGAGGGGGACACTTGGATTCGCCGTTCCGTTACAATCCGCTCTTAAACCCCTTCCTCCGAGGACTGACTTCAGAGCTGGCCGGCCTGGCGCCCACTGTCCCCGGGCCGCGACGCACGGACTGTGGTCAGCCTCCTGGAGGCCCAGCCCACCCACCACCACTCCCCGCTGAGCTGGCAGGAGGGAAAACAGCTCGGCCTGGAGGCCTCACGCCCACGCCCGGCTCGGACCTGTCATCGGGGTGTGGGCGGGAGCCATCACCAGAGGTCTGAGTCGAGGTGTCACTTTCGGGCGCCCGGGACCCGGGCAGCTTCGCTCCGGCCGCCCCACCCCACGCCCAGGGGGGCTTTGCCCCGGGACCGTCAGGCACCGGGACCGTCAGGCACCGGGACCGGGCTGCTTCTCTGGCCACCGACCCGGTTCCCCGGCTCCCCGTTCGCCACGCTGGGATGGAGCCTGTGGGCCGGAGGGACCGAGCGGTGGCCAATTCATAGCGACTGGCCGAGTGGCCGCCCGGTCGTGATGCTTATGGCCTCGGGCATATCATATAGGACTTATTTTTACTTAAACACTCTTTCTCCTTTTATTGATTTCAGAGGGGGGTATAAAAACACCAGTAAGGAGAACCACTGATTGGCAGCCACTGCGCCAGCATCCTCCTCTTTACGTATTGGCGTTGCCAGTTCTGGTTCTTTTAAAGCCGAGGAAGTGTGGTGTCTGCAGGCCCATGGCTACCAATCTGTCACTTCACTCCTCAGGGAGCCACAGCGGGCGGTGCGGACACGGCCAAGTTCTCTCCACCCCGTGTGCGGGCAGACACGACCCCCGTCCTGCAGGTGCCGATGGGGCCGCCCACGTGCCCGCTGGACTGCGGGTGCGCAGCTGGGGGGCCCTCTGGAGGGGGCCCCTCTGCCTACAGCAGTCATGTAACGGAGCAGCGGGCAGGGACAGCAGAGTCCTGGCTGGTTACCTGCCACGTGGGGAACGGTCAGATTTCAATGCGTGCTGCTGCCCGTCTCCCAACAGTGAAACTGGCCTTGTTGTGTTGTCTCAAAGAAAGCAAAAGAGCCGGGACTGGTTTGGCTCAATGGATAGAGCATCGGCTTGGGGACTGAAGGGTCCCGGGTTCGATTCCGGTCAAGGGCATGTACCTTGATTGTGGGCATATCCCCAGTAGGGGGTGTGCAAGAGGCAGCTGATCGATGACTCTCTCTCATCGATGTTTCTAACTCTCTCTCTCTCCCTTCCTCTCTGTACAAAATCAATAAAATATATTTAAAAAAAAAGAAAAGAAAAGAAAGAAAGAAAGCAAAGGAGCTGGGGGCATGCGATCCCTCCCCTTCTCCTGCAGAACCCTTTCTGGAGGCGGTCAGCCAGCCCCGAGGAGCTGGGGCGGGAGGGGTCAGCTCTGCGGTCCGGTGAGGGCGCCGCCCGTGAGGCACTGCGGGCAGGACCGCAGACAGGCCAATGGACACCGCGTGGGCCTTGCCGTTGGCGCGGCCATGGCCAAGGCCGTGGCAGAGAATGGAGGCAGGCTCCAGCAGGCTCTCCAGGCGCCTCGGCCCGGGGCTGCAGCCCGAGTGAACAGCCCGTGCGTCTCACACAGGAAGTCCCGGGAGAAAACGGGATGTGCATGGTCGGACGTGACCACAGCAGTTAACCGGCTTCATTATGCCTCACAGTGTAACACGTTTTCATGTTCTTTTATTATTCTGTAAAAGGTAACAAAATATACAGAACAAGTTTCCCCTTTTAACTAACGTTACAAACCCCTATTATTGCTCATATATAAATATCATACTATGCTGATCATCATTAATCAGGTGGAGCCCAGCCACGGAGCCTCTACTGTGAACAGGCGTTTATCTAAGCGTGTCCTCCGTGCTGCTCATCGATGAGCAGGCCGCAGCCGCCGGGAGGGAGGCCCTGTGCACGTGTGGATGCTGCCGACCAGTTTAAGCCTCAAACATGAATGCAGGGATGCCTCCTTCAAGAAACCACGTGAACCTATTGCTCTGAGCTCATGTCAAACACAGAGGCGTATGGCACTGACGAGCCACCGGTCGCGTTAGTCACGGCTCTCACACCCGCACGGAGCTGCCTGCGGCGCGCAGCGGCCTTTCCTTGATTCGATGGCCTGCCCGGCCGACAGGAAGTGATTCGCTAACAGCGGAAAATCAGGCCCGTTTGGCACTATGATACAGTGGGGAATAGCAGGGAGCCCCGCCCCAGCCCGGACGTCCGGAGACAGCCGCTCCCGGCGGGCTGGGGCGGGGCTGACAGGTCTGCGGAGACGGGTCCGTCTGCGCGCGGGCCCGCCGCCCCGCTCACATGGCCTCGAACTCGTCGATGCGCTGCTTGGTGTTGCCCTGGCGGATCTGCCGCAGCGTCTTGTACTTGTCGCGGCCTTGCCGCATGTTCTCGTTGTGGATGATGTCGTTGTGGGTCCTCTTGTTCTCGTCTCGGGCCTGGGACAGCTCGCTGGACAGAGTCTGCAACGCAAGAGGCAGGTCAGGCCCCGCCGCCGGCCTCCCGGGACCCGTGGGCCCCGGGGAGCGGGAGCCGGAGCCCGGGAGCCCGGGAGCCGCCGCGCTCACCAGGAGCTGCTGCTGCACGCGCAGGTTCTTCTCGGCCTCCGTGACCCGCTTCTCCTCGTTGCGGTCGCCCAGGATGCCCTCGCTGGACAGCTCGGCGCTGCAGCCCGAGTCCTCCGGGCCCTCCTCCTGCAGGCTCTCGCGGACGTGATAGGCCACCGGCTCGTACACGGGCGGCGGCGGGGGCGGCGGCGCCGTCATCACCAGCTGCAGCTCCTCCTTGGTCTTCACCAGGTCATCCTGGGCCTCCTTGGCCTTGGGAGCCAAGCGCAGGCCGTGAGCACCGCCCCAGGCCGCCCGACGCTCGCTCGGGAGCAGCTTTCCCCACGGAGGAGTCCCCTTGTGGGTGAGGACTCCCTCCTCCCTCCTCCCTCCTCCCCACCTTCCCCTCCTCCGCCTCCCCCTCCTCCCAGCCTCTCCCTCCTCCCCGCCTCCCCCTCCTCCCGGCAGGTGCCCGCAGCAGGAGCCACAGGAGGCGGCTGCACCACCAGGTCCCCTGCAGCCCGGCCGCCGCCCGCACGTGCCCGCAGCACAGAGAGGCGATGCCGGGCCAGATGTCTTTCTAAGTATCTGTTCTTCCGTCTGTGATCCTAGCATGTGCTCAGCTTCCTTCCCTTTCCCCTGGCCGCTGCTCCAAGCTCCCCTCCCACGGCAGGCATCAGGGAGTCCTCACCATCACCCTGACGCTTCCAGCACCTTCTCTGGGCACATAACTAAACCCCGCTCACTCCACTGCCGCCCTGACGGGCTGGTTTGTAACCAGCTCTTCTCACTATCGCCTTATCATAAGCACTTTCTCCAGAAACCCAAGGACTGAGCCTCTGCTCACCGCTCGGGGCGGGACGGGGGCTGCCTCAGCTGGGGAAGCGAGGAGGACAGGCCCGGTGGGAGGGGGCAGAGCCCCCACAGCTTGACTGAGGCCTGTACTTGAAGCCACACCCACAGCGCCCAGGGCCTAAGCTCCCGTGGACGTGAAGGCGGATGGAGTGGCACTGTCATGGCTGCAATTCACTACCCTCTGCGGGGTTCTGGAGCAGCCCTCCAGGTGGGCAGCGGTCCCGTCCACAGGAAATGAGGCCGAGGCCTCAGCTGGTCACACCAGGTCCCATCGCTGAGCGTGCCAGGCTGCAGGTGCCAGCCACAGGGAGGCTGGTTCCAGGCCTGTGGCTGGCTCGCTGCTGGGGGCACTCAGCTAATCCGACCTAAAGCCTGGGGGGCTGCCTCGGGGGCAGAACGCTCAGGTGTCACAAGGGGGCTCTTTGTCCCCTGCTGGCCCCACAGCCGTTCCCGTGGGAGCCTCTAGGAAGGACCGCACTGGCGGAGCACGCGGCCCATCACCTGGCCGCCCGCCGCCCGCCGCCAGCCGCCGCCGCACTCACCCGGTGCTGCCACTCCTCCACCTCGTCCTCCTTGCGCCGGCGCGCCTCCTCCAGCAGCGCGATCTTGGCCGTGTACTCGGCCAGCTCTGCCGCCTGCGGGCCAAGGAGAGTGAGCCCGGCCCGCCCTCAGCAAGCCTCCCGGAGCCGGTGCAGGTGCCGGTGCCGCGGCCATGCCCGCCGCGTGCCCTCGACCAGCAGGCGGCGGCCCGCCTCCCCACCGCCCTGTCCGTCCGCCGATCGCTTACGGCCGACAGAATCATTGTCAGCAGGTGTCCCTGACTCGGTCCCCAGAGGCAGCGCCTCCATAATTCAGCACTGTGAAACCGGGCTCCTACCAGCTGCTCCTGGCTCTTTATCTGATCCACCGTCTGCCGCTCCAGCTCCTCCTTGGCGCGCAGCGCGGCCATGCGGTCCGCCTCTAGGCGCTCCGCCTCCTCCTGCGCCCGCCTCCGCTCCTCCTCCAGCTGCAGGGCCCGCTGGATCTGGTCCGAGAGCTCTGGTGGGGCACACGGGGCTCAGGCTCCGCGCCGGGCCCAGCCCGGCCGGGCTCGCACGCCCGTGTTCACCGGGCGCAGCGTCACAATGCCCGGCCCGCTGTGAGCACCCTCCCGGCCGGCCACTCCCTGCCCTGCAACTGCGAGCAGCCTTTCCCGCCGCTAAAGCCCCCTCCTCGTCAGGAAGACGGACCCTCAGCACTCACCCCTCGGTCAGGGGCGTTAAGACAACGCCCACAAAGCACGCAGCACCCAGGGCCCGGCCCGCTCCCACCTGGCCCCGTCCCCCCGGGGGCGCGGGCTGCCTGGGGCCGTGGCCCACCTTTCTCGGCCTTCTTCGTCTTCTGCTCGTAGTCCTGGAGCCTGAGCATCAGCTCCTCCTTCTCCCGCATCATCTGCTCCTTCTCCCTCTCCACGGTCTCCCGCCTCTTCTTCTCCGTCTCCAGCTGCTGCCTGTTCGGGGCGGCACAGGCAGGTTAGGCTCCGCAGCCGCGTGCTGTGGACACGGCCAGCCCGGCACGGCGAGGGCCGCCCAGGTCCCGCGCTCCCACCGGCTCTGCCGGCCCGCTCACCGCTCCAGCTGCTTCTGGTGCTTCTCCTCGCGGGCCTGCGCCTTCATCTGCTGCACCTCGATGGTGTCGGGCTTCCGGCGGCGCATGTACAGCTCGTGGTTGCCCATGCAGAGCTGCAGGATGCGCTTGTTGATGCGCAGGCGCGGGGCGTAGAAGACGAAGTCCTGCGAGAGAGCAGCAGACGCGCCCGTCCCTGAAGGGCTCCGACGGCTGCCGCGCCCCAACCAGGCCGGGCGCCCGGACCCGCAGAGGGGGGCGGGCGGCCTCAGGCCCAGGGCCCCAGTGCACCCGGCCTGCCCTCTGCAGCCACCGCCACCGCCACGGTCCCGCCGGCTCCCGTCTCCCTGCCCAGCCTGCGCCCCCCATGCCCCAGCACAGGGTCAGCACCGGTCCAACGCCGAGGCCTGGCACACGCGAAAGCCCGCACCCCCCCTTCCCTGTGTTCACCTGACCACGCCCTTTCATGCCGCATGCCTTTCCCCAAACAGTCCCTCCTGGCACATCCTGTCCAAGCCGTGCCCGAGGCCTCCCTCCTCCCGTGCCCCCCTGAGCTGGCGCTCCTGGTACCACCGGCTCGGTTTGCTCTCTGTCTGGGAACCTTTTTGGATGTTTGTAACGTCATTCTCTCCAGGTAAACCTTTGTTGCTCTGGACAGCTCCTACAGTTACTGAATTTCCAGCCCCACCTGCGGTTGCCTTGGCAGAGCCAGACCAATGATTTCTCAGGCCGGGTGTTCCCCACCCTGACCTGGACAGTCAGCACCTGGAGGGCAGGCCAGGGGCAGCCATCTCTGTATTTCCCGTGTTTACTGCTGCTCACGAGCACCCTCCTGGTGGCTGACCGAGTTCAAGCCCCCTGACCCTGCGCCTCTTCAGCTCTGTGGGAGCGGCAGCACCCTGGTGCGGCTGCTGAGCTGATGACGTCAGTTAACGCTCGTAAGGACTCACAGTGCTGTCCACACCATGGACGGGCTGGCGCACTAAACGCTCACGCAAAGGCTGCCAATGGAGCAGCTCAGGAGCAGCTCACGGAGGAGCAGCTCACGAAGGAGCAGGGCAGCTCACGGAGGAGCAGCTCACGGAGAAGCAGGAGCAGCTCACAGAGGAGCAGCTCATGGAGGAGCAGCGGCAGCTCACGGAGGAGCAGCTCACGGAGCAGGGGCAGCTCACGGAGGAGCAGCTCACAGAGGAGCAGCTCACAGAGGAGCAGCTCACAGAGGAGCAGCTCACAGAGGAGCAGCTCACAGAGGAGCAGCTCACGGAGCAGGGGCAGCTCACGGAGGAGCAGCTCACGGAGGAGCAGCTTACAGAGGAGCAGCTCACGGAGGAGCAGCTCACGGAGGAGCAGCTCACGGAGAAGCAGGGGCAGCTCACGGAGGAGCAGCGGCAGCTCACGGAGGAGCAGCGGCAGCTCACGGAGGAGCAGCTCACGGAGGAGCAGCGGCAGCTCACGGAGGAGCAGCCTTCTTAGAAAAGGGACACGCTGCCTCCGGGAGCTTGGTGACTGGGGACTAGAAGCTCAGGACGCGGTAACAGAGCTTGTGTCCTAGCTCTTGCTCACGGTGACCAGCAGATGACAGAAAGCAGAATGTCGGTTAGAAACGCTCGCTAAGTTACTTAAAGCACCTGCCTGCTTCCTCTCCTTTCCTTCCTTTCTCTTCTCAACCGCAGGCTCTCACATCGAGGTTCTGGCCACCAGCTCAGGGAGAGCGTGGCCAAAACAAACAACAAACAAACAAACAACAGCGCCTCCCACTCCAGGCCCTCGTCTGCCCCAGAAACCTGGGCGAATGCCGAGTCCAGCCCACGGCTTCCGGGTGCGGCCTCCGGGGTTCACCTGTCATTAAGCTGCCGGGTTTCCCGGGGAGGCGCCGCACCCACCTCTGTTACACAAGAGGACACCAGCTGTGCTGGCTGCACAGACAGGCCCCTCCCAGGAGGTCCGGACAGTGTCCCCTGCGTACCGGCCAGGCCTCTGACCAGCAGCAAACCCGCTTCAGAAAAAGTCCTTCAGAAAACCAAGGGGCAGGAAGTGTGGGCACGTCGCCTCCCGCCTCCCAGAGAGAAGCCCGTGGACAGGGACCCGCTCACACTCCGCAGGGAGGGAGTCTGCCTTCAAGTTAAAGCTGAAAGGGCTGCGCATTAAAAGGTCTAAATCCAAGTCTCCAGCCAGCGAGCTAACTCGCAGCCACACGCCATGACCTGGGACGGCAATCCAAACTCAGAGAGGACAGACCCTCGGGGCACGAGCCAAGTTCAAGGAAACAAATCCAAAGGTCACCTTGAAAGGAGTCAGGGAACTCCTAGGCACAGCCCCTGGGCCCCATCCAGAGCTCCCTGCTCACGGGGGAGGGGGCAAAGGTCACGGGGAAAGGGCTGAGCACCGAGCAGGTCCAGTCGAACGCCATTTTCTCCTGCGGGGACCTGAGATGCTGTCGGGAGGCCCCGCACCCAGGAGCGCGGCCCGGGGGGCCGGCTGCTCTCCCGGGACCATGCTCGAGCCCAGCGAGGCCTGGCCTTCGGCAGGGTCACCGGCACAGGACGGCTCTTTTCCTCTGGGGAATGCAGACGGCTGACAGCTCAGGGGCCAGTCAGGCAACGGCAGACACCGGCCCGTCCTGTGGCCCAAGAGATCCTGACCCTCCACGCGACCTGCCGGCAACTCCCCACCCACACACTCATGCTCTGAGCACCACCGGCTCCTGTCACCGAGGAGGGAACCGGATTTATCCTGGAAACACGCGTGGCTGCAAGAAAACCAGTGACACGTGCGGACGCCCGTGGGCTTACCGGTGCCTTCTTGTCGATGGGCTTGATGACAAACTTCTTGTCGTTGAAAGAGATGTTCCTGATCTCACTCCACGGGAAGCCGATCTTTGGGGTCAACCTGAGGTTAAAGGTCAGAGGTTAGCTGTGCCCGCTGACGGAGGGTGTGCAGATCCAGCCTCAGTTCTCCTTGGTCCAGGAAGGGTAACACCGAGCACTCATCGTCCCCACCGCCCCGTGCAGGAGGGCGGCGGTCTGAAGGCTCAGGAACCTCAGTCCTCCCCATCGTCTTTCTCAGCTGGGGCGTCCCCCTGGCTGTGACCTCCAGCCCGCTCGTCCCTGCGCCCTGCTGGAAATGCCTCACAACCATCTTCAGCCCTAAGCCCCCTTCCCGTGGGACGGCCCAGCCACGATGCTCGGGGCCAGGATCCCCGTCAGCCGGCTTGTCTGGTGAGTGTTCCTTTCAGTCGATCGTTCCCTCTCCCAATGTCAGCAGCAGCTTCCTGCCGCCGGTGAGCCCTGCGCGGTGCGGAGGGTCCAGGACTGGGTCCCTCGCCAGCCCCTCCCGTCACCCCCATCTGCCCCACGGCGAAAGCCAGAGCTGGGCTTCCTGTCCCCCCTGCCTCTCCACACAGGGTTTCCCGGAGGCGCCTGGAAGGTTCCCTCCTCCCCTCCGGCCGGCCCTGCTCACTCAGGTCTCCCGGTCAGCTATCAGTCTCTACGGGCCAGACCCTAAACCACGGCCCGTCACCAGCCGTGGAGGCGGGAGGCGGGGGCGAGCCTTCTCGGGGCTGAGAGCACGCCTGTCTCCCGGGCCGTGCCGGGGCCACTTGCCAAGGAGGCGGCCAGGGTGGTCAGGCCCCCCATTCGGCGTGGACTTGGCCAGGGTCCAGCCGGCGCTGCCTCTGGCCTGTCCTGGGGGCTCCTTTCCTTCGGCCGGTCAGGGTTTGCCCAGCACGCAGTGCTCGGGCGCTGGGCACACGCTTACACCTGCCGCACCCTCCTGGGGAGCAAGGGCGAGGTGCGGGCTGCGGGGTCACCCCACATTCTGACCGCACCAGCCCCCTCCTAACACAAGCCCCACCCCACCCTGCGTGGTCACTATGGTCCACAGGGGCTGAGACTGGCTTTTAAGAGCAACCGAAGTCCACACGCTCTCCTCACCTCCTGATGCCAGCGCATTCCTGCAGCACGTCACCATGGCTGCCCTCTGGGCGAAACAGACCCTAAGCCACCTCTCAGAGACACTGCCCTCAGACCCGGCCTTCCCCACATGCACAGCCGCCCCCGTTTGCTGTGCGGGAGGTGCCGGGCTGCAGTGCCCGGGAGTGTGCCCGGGAGAGGCGGGCTGCGGTGAAGGACCAGGCAGGCGGGAGCTGCCACAGTCTCGGTCTCGCCGCTGGGAGACCTTCCTGCTTTGCAGTTTGAAGCTTTATTTACAAAGTGTGAGAGCGGTCTGGGCGGTGGGCTGGGCTGGAGATCACGGCCAGGTGCAGGGCTGGGCAGATAACGGGGCTGCAGTGCGGCCCGCAGCTCTCAGGGAGGGAGGACTCACCGGCCTGGCCGGGCCTCCCTGCACCTGGGGGGCCGCCCCCCCTCCCCCGCAGCCTGCAGCGGGGCCAGGCTTACGGTGTCTAACCGAGGCCCAGATTCTGTCAGCCCGAGGCAAACTCTGAAACTTCTCACTCGGGTCCTGGCCACAGCAAACTTGGTGGGAAAGCCACCTGTTCCAGGTTCAAGTTCGGTTCCAGAGACCCGGAGAGCTCAGCCCGGCACCTGGTCAACACAACGCCGGCGCCTCCTCCCTTCACCGAGCAGAGCACGCATCCTCCAGCCAGACCAACAGCCTGCCCCTGGGTGTCGGGGGAAAGTGGGGATTCCTTCCGGACGTGAGTGCAAGGGGAACGGAACCAGAACGTGACTGTCAGCCGGGTGAGGGCCGGAGGGAAGGATACTGGCTCTTGGCTCAGTCCCCACCCACATCCTCTCTGAAAGGGCTAATGGAAGGGCCAGAGCCACGCCCCCGAGAGCACCCTCACCGTCCCCCCTGGACTCTGTCCCCCCTGGACCCTGTCCTCTGATCCGGCATGGGCTGGCCCTGCGGGAGGGGGAGGCGCTGCAGGGATGAAGGCTTGAGGGCAGGATCGGGTTCCTCTGCTCTTTGTCTCGCTCTGTTGTTTGGTTCTTGGTCTGGATGCCAAGCAGAATTATAGCAGCTGAGGTGAACCTTGTTCCCAGGCTGATAACGCTTTTCAGGGAAGGGCCTTCCCTCCCATGGGCTCCTGCTCCGACCTCCGGGTTCACAGGAGAGAAACAAGTGCTTCAGTCCTACGTGCCCCGCTGAACGCCGTGTGTACGATGAGAACGGGACCCAGGGGGCATTTCCCAACTGGAGCTCATTCAACACTAAAAGGGACAACTTTTTAGTGACATAAAGGCGGGTCTGTTTCTTTGCAGGGTGCACCGAATCTCCTAGGCCCAGCTTACATCCTCCATGTACCCGTCTCCCATCTGAGCACCCCTCTGCAAACTCCCACCCCGCACTCCCAACCCTAACCCAATCCTGCACTAACTCTAACCCTAACCAACCCTGCTCTCCTAACCCTAACCAGACCCTGCACTGCTCTGCACTAACCAGACCTGCACTGCCCGTCTGCAAGGGCACTGAGTGCCCGTGAACACAGCCAGGAGCTGCCAGTCCCTGGCTCACCGTGGACGCTGTTGGTTTAAAAGGAGAAGCGGGCTTGGTGAACTCCTGCCTGTTTGCTAACTGCAGAGGGAGCCTCCCCAGGAGGGGCGGGAAGTGAGGCTGCGCCCGGCCTGGTGTCTTGGGGGAGAAGCCTCTCGCGGGGGTGGCCAGTGTCCCGTTCGCTGGGGGAGGGAGCAGGACTGGGACTGGAGGGGCACACAGTCCTTTTACTGGGAAATGCACATTTGTGCGGGGGGGCAGTTACAGGCTGGCTTCACCGGGTTCCTGCCCACGGCTGTTCCTTCAGCCGGAAAAACCTGTTTGGACAGCCCTGGCCAAGGCTCTTACAAAACCTGGCCATTCAAGAAAGCCCACAGGCAGCTTCCCACGTGACCCATGAGGCCTGGTTCTCGCGCTCCGCTCCCAGGCGTGGCCTGCTGACCTCCAGTCCCTCCCTCACACGCGGAGGGGCACAGGCCCGTAACCCGCTTCCAGGCTCTGGAAGGCTCCGAGAGCCCGAGAGGCCTGTCGTGTCGCATGTGTGACCAGAGCCTCCAGCAGGAGACCCTCCAGCGGGGGTCCCCAGCGCGGCCCGAGCACGCTGCCCCAACCCAGGCACCGAGGAGGTTCAGGGCCGGCGGGCGGGTTCCTCCCAAATCAGCAAGAGGCAGTGGCTGGGGTGAGAGATGCTTTTGGGGGATCACAAAGCAGTACCACCCCCTCAGGATGCAGAACGGAGCTGCTGTGCAGCCTCTGGCAGGAAAGAGGCCTGTCTGTGTGCGCAGTGGGTGGCACAGGGATAGGCACAGGAAGTCGGGAGCCACTCTTGAGAACCTCACTGGCCACTCCTGCCCAACAGACCACCCTCCCCTCCCTGGTCCAAGGACCCGGTGGACTGTGTACTAAAGGCTAGTTTACAGCCTTGGGGTCCCCGTCAGCCCCACAAATACTCCCGGTGGGATGAGCACAAACCTCCAAGGTCTCCCGCGGGACCCTCAGCATGCGCAACAGGTGCCGGCAAAAAGGTCGCAGACAGGAGAGCAATGACGCACGCTCCGAGGCGGCCACAGCCGTAAGCCCCGAAGACACACACACACACACACACACACACACACACCCCAGCCGGTCGCCGCCCGCATGCACAGCCTTCAGGCGCTCCATCTGGGCCATTCCCCTCACCTAAAGGTCATTATAAAGGTCAACTCACTTGTCATCCTTCTCATAGATATTCAGGCCCAGGGCGTCCACTCCGAGCCACAGGTCTGTTCCCTTCTTGTTTTTTATCTCGAAGTAGTTGATGCCGTACATCTCCAGGTCCTGGGCGATCTTCAGGTACTCCAGCATGGCGCTGTCTCTGGTGGGGACACGCGCACGTCAGCGGGGTGTCCTGGGCGGGAGGCAGCAGTGCGTGGACGGCCCGCACTGACCGCCGGCGTCCCTCACTGACTCCCGCGGCTTCTCCTGTTTCACTTTATTGCCAGGGTCCCCCCTCTCTGCCTGCGGGGCTTTGGGGCTCCCCCGGCAGCCTCATTAGCAGCCACGGCTTAGGCTTCTCGTTACTTCCTTCGAGGAGGCAGCGTGGCCGGGCAGGAAGCTCTAAGGACACGTGTTTGCGAAGCCCAAACTGCAAAGGGCCTTCTGGCCGGGGACCACGCGGCCGTGCCCGAGACGAGGATCTGGGACCGCGGACTGGCCATTCCTTAGGCTGGACAGCGTGTTCCTGGCTCGGGGTCCGCTGTTTGCACTCACACTTAGAAGGCAGTCGCCTCACGGACGTGGAGCCCAGCCCCTCGGTGACAGGGGAGACAGTCTGGAGCTTAGGAGCAGCGTCCGCCCCGTGACTGGCAGGACGTTTCAAACATTGAGAGGGGAGCTCAGGACTTGAAGGCCCCAACTGACCGGCCGCTGCCTGACCCAGGACCCCCCTGAGCTGGCGGCCACCCCCGGCGGCCTCAGGGGCACCGGCCGGCCGCAGGCCGAGGCCCACACTCACTTGAGCATCCCGCGGTGCTCGGCGTGCCACACCTGGATCCGGTCCTCCCACTGGTCCCGGGTGAGCTTGTGCTGGTCCATGACTCTGGTGGCAGAGGAAGGTGAGTGACAGACTGTCCCTCTCACGCAAACTGTCACTTTTCTTCAGCTAACATCACCACAAAGTGGTTTGTTTCTACTTCCCAACGTGCCATTCTACTTAGGAGGAACCGAAACCTGATGATTTACTCTGGAAGGAGACAGACTCAGCCCTGCTAGGAAAACTTAAAGGGCATTTATTTTAAGAAGCCTTTTCTCAATGGTAAGATACGTACACAGATAACAATTTAATAAAAATAAGTTAATAAAAAAGAAGCCTTTTCTGTCCATAGGGGTCACTCATGTGGTCACGGGTGACTAAGCACAGACCTAACAGAGCCAGGAGAGGGGGCAGCCAGGCCTGAGACACATGACCCTCTGGGACAGCCGCGTAACACGCCCTCCACGGCCCAGAGGACGGCCCTCCTGCTGCGCTCAGCCCCACCGCTCAGGGGGCCGCGTGCCAGCGAGACCGCCCTCACGCCGCCCCCGCGCTCCCCCGCCTCCCCTCTGCGCCCGGCCTGCCTCACCGCTGGGGGATCAGCCGCTCGGAGCTGAGGTAGCCGGACTTGTGCATCTCCTTGTTGTAGTCTCCGAACTTGGCCTGCACGGCGTAGGAGCCCAGCAGCACGGCCGTCTCCGGGGGGCAGTAGATCTCATCGCTCAGGATGCCCTCCTTCACTTGGAGGAAGAACAGCTTCTGCGTGATGTCCTGGATGAGCTCCTCAGGCACGTCTTCGGGGTAGAACTTGGCCCTGAACTTGAACTGCAGGGGATTCTCCTTCCTGACCTCCTGGGCCGACACCTGGACAGCAGAAGCCGACCGCTCAGCGCACTCAAGGGAGAAAGCCCCGCCCCAGCACAGGCCACCACCCGCCCAGAGGGCCCGCCGGCCAGTTTCAAAGACACTGTCCATTCTGCAGTCACCTTCACATGTCAGACCCAAAAGGCCATTTAAAGAGTCCCACTACACACCCTCCCTTCGGGGAAGCCTAGCGCCAGCCTGGCCCGATCCGGACACCTCTCTCCATGAGCTGGAAGCTGGGGACTCTTAGCCCCTCAGCGCCCCCCCCTCAGCTCCCGCCGCCCGCCGCCCTTAACTCCGAGGAGAGCAGAGCTTGGAAAATTTTCCAAACTGTTTGCAGAAAACACGTTTTGCTTCTCGCTGCTCTTTATAATTGTTACTGGGATTATCCCGTCTTTAGAGTTGGGAGATAATCTATCACAGGCTCCAACAAAGCAGTAACAGGTTCTTACAGAACAGTGGGTGATTCATGGTTTAGAAGATTAATAATCGCCCTGAAAATACACACTGAGGCAGCTAAATACCAAGAACTAATCACCACACGCTCAGGGAGTGAGCAGCGCGGGAAATGCCAGGATCCGATTTCCAGCCCATATCCCCATTTTCGGGAAACCTGCACCTGTTTGCCTATAAAAACTTTTACACAAACAAAAGGCAACAGAAACCACAGCCAGAGTAAGGGCCCCAGCTCCATGCCAGCGAGGAGGCCCCCTCCCAGCGGCAGTGCAGACAGAGCTCCGGCTCACCTTCTTGTCGAGCTTCAGCCAGGCGGGGAGCCCCCTGTTATCCACGTGCTGGAGGCCAAAGTACCACACCTCCCGGAGGCCGATGGTCTTCACCACCTGGGGGGAGGGGGGGGTCACGGAGCACGCATTACTCACCCCAGAGCCACAGCAATTCATTTTAATAACCGGAGCTGATTCTGGGTTTACATTAAATCTTACAAAATCTTAAGACCTAAAATCTCACTCCTACTCCTCAACTCCATCACGCGTTCCGGCGGGAGTCGCTGCGCGGAGTGACAGCAAGCACAGGGCGCAGCAGTGACGGCGTGCCCCGGCGTGAAGCAGAGGCGCCTGGCTCTCCTCTGGCCGCCCGCCTCTCCGCCAGCAGCCAGGACCTGCGGCCCGCACAGGGAGCCCCGCACAGGGAGCCCCGCACAGGGAGCCCCGCACAGGGAGCCGGCAGCGGGACGGGCAGGGCAGGCGGTGCTCACTCCAGGGAGGGGCAGAGTCTGTTCACGTTCGGACACAGAGACTTCGCCCCCGGGTCACAGCAAGGCTCTCGTTGGGGAGCTCCCCTGTTACTGGAAGAACCCTCCGTGGTCCCTGCCAGACGGTGATCCAGGCCTCGGAACCGGAAGAGCAGCTGCGGGCCCCATCACGGCCAGCCCGAGCGGTGCTGCCGGTTCTGAGCCCATGGCGTACTGTTAGCCTCCAAGAGAAAGCCGTACCCGTCCTTCACACACGTCCGTCACATGTAAGGGAAAGACTGCGGGCGGCGCGATGAGGGACCAGGGATCTGAACGCTCGCCTACATCAGGTGGAAAACGCCACGCACGCCCCTTCCCAAGCTGCTTCCTGCCGGGACACGGGCCTACGCAACCTGCCTCCTGCCTCCCGCCGGGGACACGGGCCTGTGCTACCTGCTCCCGCCGGGTCTCGCAGGCCCGTGTCCCGGGCGGAAGGCAGGTAGCACAGGCCCGTGTCCCAGGCCCGTGTCCCAGGCCCGTGTCCCCGGCGGGAGGCAGGAAGGTCTCGCAGGCCCGTGTCCCCGGCGGGAGGCAGGTTGCGCAGGCCAGTGTCCCCGGCAGGAAGCAGCTTGGGAAGGGGTGTGCGTGGCGTCTCCCTCTTGATGTAGGCGAGCAGGGGGCCCAGCGCAGGGAATGGGCAGGGAGAGGACGCACATCCAGCAGCCGAGTCACAGCAGATTCCTGATCTGCTAAAACCTTCCCCCCAGGCCCCCGTCAGCGCCAGCCGCTCCCCAGGGAAGTGCTGGGTGGAGGACACGCTCTCCTCCCGTGGGACCTCAGAAAGGCCAGCACAGCGCAGGCCTCACACCGCCTGCTGCCCACTGGGCCCCTGGCCTCTCTGAGGAGCTGTCCCGGCAGCAGCCATCAAGGGACTCGTGTCCCCATGACAACGCCCACCTCCACCTCGGCCTTGGGGCCGGCACTCGCATCTGAGCTCCCGGTCACAGAGCGGGAGGGTCCCCTGGGAACGCGGCCTGCTCGGTCCCTCTTGGGCCGTGGGCGCGTCTGACCTCACTGCGCCCCAGCCCCACATGGTGGCAAGCAGCCAGGTGACCCCGAGCGGGAGGGCAGGCGGCACTGCCACCCCGGCAGGCACCGGCCGGCCTGTCGCCCTTGGTGCTGAGCCTTGGTGTGCCCTGAAGCAGCCCCGGGGGGTGAGCCCCGCGGGAGGGCAGAAGCAGGCAGCACACCGAGCAATGCACTCGGCAAACACAATGACCCGGATGCTGCAGCCGTTTCTTTTCTAAACAGGAATTCTCTCTTAGTTCAGAGACCAACCTGGTCGAAGAGCTGCTTTCCCGTCGTGTTGGGCTGGATGGCAAACTCCAGCTCCGCGTCCATGGTGGTGACCCGGACATTGATCTGGAAAACAGGGACAAATCACACTCAGTGAGCATGCTCTTCTCTCTTTAACAAAATATGTTTTTATCGAGTTCAGAGAGGAAAGGAGAGGGCGAAACATCAATGAAGACAGGGAATCATTGACTGGCTGCCTCTGGCACACCCCACTCTGGGGATCAAGCTGGCAACCCAGAACCAAACCCAGGACCCCTCAGTCCACAGGCTGACACTATCCACTCACTGAGCCAACCAAGAGGTCAGCATTCTTTCCTCCGAATCCTCTCCTGAGCCTTCACTCAGGGCTCCTCAGCAGCACGGCAGGTGGGTTCTCTCCAGCAGCCATGATCAGTCTGGTCACCACACACACACATTCACATGCACACACTCCCCGCTGACGGAGGTAACTGATGGTCTCGGCGTGTGCAGTCTGACCCGAATGCAGGCCTCCCCTCTTGAGGAAAGCACATTCACGCTCAGTCTGTGTCTGGCTGCGGTGAGTTATTTCCCACGCATCTCCTCCGGACCCCACAACAGCCAGTGAGGCACCGGGCGGCGAGCTTGCCCCGGAAATTCAGACCAGGCAGGAAGGAGAGGAAGGAGAGGATCGCAGCAGTGGGCAAAGTAGGTTGACTTCTGTTCTTATGGGAAATGAGGTGATTAACAAGTAATAATAGCCGAAACCGGTTTGGCTCAGTGGATAGAGCGTCAGCTTGGGGACTGAAGGGTCCCAGGTTCGATTCCGGTCAAGGGCATGTACCTTGGTTGCGGGCATATCCCCAGTGGGGGATGTGCAAGAAGCAGCTGACCGATGACTCTCTCATCTATGTTTCTAACTCTCTCTCTCTCCCTTCCTCTCTGTAAAAAAAAAAAAAAAAAAAACCAATAAAATATATTTTTTTAAAAAAGTAATAATACAAGAGGGCAGCACAGCATTCGTCTGCAGAATGGCCAGCACCTGACACAGTGCTCTCGGCACAGAGGACACAGCGGTCCTGTCTTAGTCACGTGTTAAACGCTCCATGTTCGTAAGGACGGCGGAAATCGTTTCCCATCAGCATGACTCCCACTGGCGGTTCCCATAAACCATCTACTCAGACAGCAGGCCATTTCTATACACGTCCGGTCACCTATCCAGGGCTTTGGAAGCGAAGAACATCTAAGCCCAGCTCCTCTCCCAGCCTGTGGTGAGCTGCGCTCACAGGAGCGGAGCCCCAGGGACTGGGGGTGGAGGGGGGTGGGGGGGGTTTCTACATGGCAGGAGGCAGCCCCACAAAGGGCAAAGGCATTCTCAGCGCCTCGGTGTGTCTCCGAGACCACTCCCCTCAGAGCAACAGCGCCTGCAGGCGCACAGCCGCACATGGGCGTGGGGTGGGCAGGCGTGTGTGCAGAGCAGCCACCTCTGAAAACCTACCCGAGGCTCGCCAGCACACTAAGCCCGCTCCGCATCCAGTCTTGTTCAGCGGGGTGTGACAATTAAAGTTTAATTCTGCTCATGCACCCCCTGCCCATATACACGTGCAGAACCATGTGGCTGACGGTGCAGATAATTTAATAATTTATGTCTCCTTCCAAATGCTCAGACAGTCACACTGTGAGGTCTAAAGTGTCGGAGCATGTGAGGCACCAGACCTCACCCTACTCCGCTGTTTATACTGGGAATTCACAAACACCTTTACGTGTGGGAGTTAAGTTAGCCCTCAACTGATTTTTAAAAACCAAACAAAACAAGAACTGGCCAGTGAAACTTCTTAAATTTAAGCAAAATGCTGTGCACGTTTTGTTGGTGGTGGTAGTGGTGGTGGTGGTGGTGGTGGTGGTGGTGAGTGTGTGTGTGTGTGTGTGTGTGTTTCATGAATAATGACTAGAATCTCACAGGTATTTTGCTCCAGGCCACTTGGCTATATAATGCATATTTTTGAACATCAGGATTCAACAAATAAATTTCCTTTGCCTTCGTCATTGAAGATAACGCAAACTTAATTGTCAGCCTCTCTATCCTCCCTCTGCTTAATAATCTGCTCTCTGAGACATTCTATTTGCTGATGTTAGGGGTCAGCTCGGCGATCACACTACGCACCCTGAGCCAGGACAGCACATGCTGCTGCCCCCGCACCCCGCCCATGGGCACCTCGCATCCTGTGAGGCTCGCGTGCTCTACAAGCCCCACCACATGCTGCTGGGGTGCTGACACGTGGGGGTCACCGGTCAGGAGGAGGCCGACCTCCCTTGCACTTGAGCCACTTGCCTTACCCCACAGAGATGGACTCCAGCGGCTGTCACACCCGAATGGGACCCGCCGTCACTCCCCAGAGCAGCTTTACAAACACTGGGGTTTCCGGCTCAGCCCAAGAACCTGTGTTTTTTAAGCCACTCAAGTGGCTTGAGGACGGCCCAAGCCACTGATGGCAGGCAGGAGCAGGGCAGCCGGAGGCCTGGGTTCGAGACCTGGTGCTGCAACCCACTGAAGACTCGGCCCTTATGTGCAAAAGGTCTGGACCACATGCCCCAGGTCCTTTCAGCTCGGAAATGTTAGGCCAGCGGGACCGGGGAGAGAATCAGAGCAAGAACTGAGAGGATCAGCAAGAACTGAGTCCCGGCGGCCGACTTCTAAGGGGATGTGGGGGGATATGGGGAGGATCCCTGAGAAAGTAACTCAGAGGGGACCCTCTCACAGGCGGCCAGGAGACCGCTTCCGACAAAGGAAGGCTCAGCCCCTGCAGGGCTGTGACCCTCCTGGAGGAGACTGGCCACGGGCTTCCTGCTGCAATGCAGCCGACTTCTCTTTCTGACCAAGAGAACTGCCAGTATTTAAGCCCCAGTCTTCCTTTTAAAACACCCAATAACAATCCACCCCCTAAACGACACAAATCAGTCCCAGCTGCTCCCTCCCTCCAGCCAGCCCCGTCTGTACTGGGAGTGGATGTATCTGTAAGGCTGTTCCTCCTTCAGCATCCTGGACCCCAGACGTCACCTGAGAGCTTCTGGCCCAAGTCAGCGACCGAGTTCTCTGCTAAATGCCCGAAGGCAGAGAGGGACAGAGAGGGACAGACGGGATGCTCAGGGGGAGGGGACCAGCGGCGTTTGAGGTCAGAGGTTAAGACTCCGTTTCTTTCTTCTCTCTTCCTCTGAAAGGCTTTGGGTGTCTGCTGTGTGTTCACGCACTGTGAGTCCCAGGCCTTCCTTTCCGGGCCACCCCAGGACCGGCCCCCGGACACAGAGACCGGGAGTGACCGCGGGCCTCAGCCTAACGTGTTACGCTCGCAGCAGCCTGTACAGAACAGAGGGAGCCGAAGCGCCTTTTCCGTCCTTCCCCGCAGAGGCTGGACTGCTGGCGGTGAGTGACCGCCCTTTCTCCTCCTTGCTGGCCAGTAAGTACTTGGCGCTATTGCCGGTACTGACACACCGCACATCCTCCTGACACACTGCACTTGGTGGAGTGTGTGGTGGCTCCCGCAGATCCTGCCACCAGCCTTACAGACCGGAGCGCCCGGGCCCGCGGAGGGGCCGTTCGTGAGCCCCTTCAGCGCGAGAGATGGAACACGGAGCCGGGCGCAGCCTGCGTGTGGCCGGCAGGCCGTGCTGCGATAAGGCCGATCCCGGTGTTACCGGACGTGCGCGGGGCTGCCCGGCACCGAGATTACCGGGAGCCTGACCTTCCCAATCACTCAGGCCAGCTCCCCCGCAGGTGCCGCTCAGCAGCTCCGCGCCGCCAGATACTGGGCTAAGCCCTCAGGTCCCCGCCTTCGCCCACGGGGAGGACACGGGGGAGTCCAGCAAGGAGACCCCCCGGGAGCCGAGTGAGAGGCACCCCGGTGCCTGTTTGGGTCACTTAACGGAAAACCACACAGAAAACACTGTTTTCATCTTCAGTCAAGCTGTTGTGTCCTTTTAAAATTGCAGCCTCTGGAAATATAACTCACAGCCGTAATATGTGCCCGTGAAAGCCAGCAATTCGGGGCTTTTAGCACACCCGCAGTTACACAACCTCACCACGGCTAACTTTAGCACATCCGTCACTCCCTGGCCATCAGCACCCCCTCCTCCTACCTCTCCCGGCCCACAGCCCACTTCCGTCTCCAGACGGCCCTCCTCTGGGCAGTCCCTGGGAAGAACGGGGTCTTTTTGTGACTTGCATCTGTCACTTAGCATGTTTTCCCGGTTCATCCATGTCCTAGCATGTCAGGGTTCCAGTCCCTTGTTCTATCCCACAGCCTCCCACTGTCTGGGTACATCACTCTTGTCTCTCTGCTCTGAACTGGACCGCCTGTGGTCAAACTGGAAAAAAAAACCTAGGGGGAAACAATGACGAAAGAGAGTGAATTTTTAGAAACTAAACTTCAGTGGGAGTTCCCGGTCTTCCAGCCGTAGATAAAAACCCCCAAAGGCAAGGTTTGTTTTCCGCTCTTTTCCATTCCACCCGCCTTCCTCGATGTCACAGTAGCAGCTGCCACAGAACTAGAGGCCCAGTACGCAATATCAGTGCACCAAGGGGGGCCCCTCAGCTCAGCCTGCACCCCCTCACAGTCCTGGACCCCTGAGGGGGTGTGTCTGCCTGCCAGGGATCAGGCCTAAGCCAGCAGTCAGACATCCCTCTCACAGTCCGGGACCCCTCACCCCTCGCTCCTTACCTCCCGCCTGCAGTGGAGGCAGGAGAGGCTCCTGCCACCACCATTAGGCACGCCAGCCATGAGCTCGGCTCCTGGCTGAGCAGTGCTCCCCCTGTGAGAGTGCACTGAGCACCATGGGGCAGCTCCTTCATTGAGTGTCTGCCACTGGTGGTCAGTGCGTGTCATAGCCACTGGTCATTCCACCATTCGGTCAATTTGCATACTACACTTTTATTGTATAGGACGAGGCTTTGTCTTGTTACATGTGCAATGCAGCCCCCATAGCACTGTTTACACAAACAACACGATTATATGGGAGCCGTTGCCACTGGAAACCCAGTGACAGATTCCACGTTGTCATAGTTTCTAGCAAGCACACAGTTAGAAAGGCCGTCCACAAACCACCCAGTCCCA